CATACAATGAATGATATTTTGAAATGCAGAAAAGAGCACGCTTTTTACCTGTTCACTAACGAAATCTTCACTTCAATTTATTTACAGAATGAGATCCGAGAAACACAAGATCTAGTGAATCGAAGACTCAAGCTACAATGGATATCACAGGGACTTACAATTTCACGAAGGAGTAAGTAGGGATTTATTTCAGCGATATTTTGTTTGAATCAAAACATTTTTTGACGCGTTCTATAACTTTGTTGCACAGAGAACGCGCAAAACCCTCGAAAACAAAAGAAGTATAACGACTTTTTTGAACAGAAAAATGAGGAATAAATCTCATTCTATGTCTATCCTTTAGTTTATACAGTGGCAAACTTCTTACATATTTATTGATTCCTTCTCGACTATTATGCTTCTATTATTTTGACACTCATATTATTTCACTAATGTAACAGCTGATAGCTAATTCACATGATTCGTCTCAACCTGACATGTCGTACGAATGAACAATCTGCCACAAATCATTGTCGAGCATCAGCAACTCTTCTCGCGCTAGAGTATAACTCCTTGACGGTCAATAATATTGAAGGTGTCAGTCTAAAATTATAACTAGACCAGCATCAAAATAAATCAGTCTTTTAGGTGTGGGTGTGAGTGTGGATGTGGGTGTGGGTCACAGACTTTCTTACTACACCTACACCCACACCCACACCCTTTTTTTCTTAAAAAGTCTGTTTTTGCTCAAATTTTGCTTAAGTGTTGTTATTAGGGACAAAATTTAGCTGAGTGTTGTAATTATGGAAAGTGTCCCTAATAACAACAGTAGCAGTCCGTTATCGTAGACCGCTGATTTCTCCGTCATTACATTTCAGAGAAAGACCGCTGTTACACCATTTGAAAGAGGAGACTCCATCGATTATGCATATATAAAAATATTTTCAGTCGGGTGTAAAATAGCTGAGAATCGAATCGAATAAGGAAGAAACTTTTTTTAGCGTTGTTATTAGGGACATTGACTGTAGGGATTAGGTTTGACATTTGTTCTTCAACGATTCAACATTCTTCTCACAAGATGCAAATAGAATCTTCTCTGGATTTTTTTCACTTTAGGAGTTCCACATAGTGCATTATTTTATTGCTTAAATTCTTGTCTGATGTTCATATAAATGATCATCCTGCAAAACAATTCTGAATTCTCGCAATTTCGAATAAAATCTTCAGATCCCTATGTTTTTATATCAAAAGCTGGCGTCGAATAGCATTACTCTTTCTCGGACAAAGCTCCTTACAGCAATCTTCAGATGTAATTTTGAGGGTCAAAAATATTTTGTCAAGAACTAAAAGTAACATAGATGTAAGAATCGTTACCAAAGCCTTTTTTCTCATAGAAAACCAGGAAAAGACTTCTGAATTTTTATCTGCAGAACAAGCATTCTCAAAGACGAATATCGTATTTGTAGTGCTTACTCCCACGAGAGACGAAATCCCTTCAACAACGACGATTTCTTTTCTTTTTCGTTCATTGTAGTAAATCCCAAGATTCCAGTTGATGCTCGATGGGCACAGAATGGTGTGACTGTTGCTGGAGGCCACGGACAAGGCAATGCCACCAATCAACTCTGCTGGCCACGTAGTCTCTTCGTTGATGATGATCAAACGATGATCATTGCTGACTATGGGAATCGTTGTATCATCCAATGGAAGATGGATGATACGTACGGACAAGTGATAGCTGGTGGCCATTGCGAAGCAAATCGATTGAATCGATTGAATAATCCAACCGATGTGTTGATCGATAAAGAGACGGATAGTCTCATTATTTGTGATCAAGACAATCGACGAGTCGTACGATGGTCTCGTCGTAGTGGTACAACTCAAGGAGAAATCCTCGTCGACAACATCGATTGTTGGGGATTGGCCATGAATGATCAGAGATATCTCTACATCTCTGACTACCTGAAACATGAAGTAAGACGATATCAAATTGGAGACAAGAATGGAACTCTTGTGGCTGGTGGCAATGACAAAGGTGCTGGTCTTGATCAACTCAACGAGCCGGGATACATCTTTGTCGATCAAAAACAGGCTGTCTACGTGTCAGATTGGGGCAATAATCGTGTCATGAAATGGAATAATGGTGCAAAAGAAGGAATTGTCGTCGCTGGAGGTCAAGGCGAAGAGAATGCTGTGACACAATTGTCGCAACCTAACGGACTGTTCGTCGATACATCGGGTACCATCTATGTGGCAGATGCGGAGAATCAACGAGTGATACGTTGGCCTCAAGGAAAGAAACAGGGCACTGTCATTGTGGGTGGAAATGGTGAAGGAGCAGGAGCAAATCAGTTCAAATACCCCTGTGGTTTGTCCTTCGATCGACATGGCAATCTCTATGTCGTCGATAAGGGGAATTATCGTGTTCAACGATTTTCAATCGAAGAGACTCAAAATTACGATTAATTTTCCTTTCCTTTCTCTCAAATAAATCACGTTCAATTGATGAAACAAATGGCTATTCTATTTTCGCGCGCGTCCAGGAACCATTCTGGTGGAGCCGTGGCGAGCGTAACGCTCATGCACGCACAGGACAGACTCAAATCATTCACATCTCTCCCACTTGAGAGATATGTAAATGAGTTTGTGGAATGCCGGTCGTGTGCCACGGGCACCAAGATAGCTTCTGGCCGGTATTTTAGGGCCTATTCGGAAGGCCTGTAAATAACAGGGTCTCATCTCAATGGACATGACTCATCCTCCTTCCCACTAACACTCACTTTGCTGAAGCTCACTTTAACCTTCCTCAATCTCAATGCCACTATATATCCCCATCCCCTCTCTCATCCTATTCTCTTTCTCAAAAGAAAAAAAAAGTTATTACTCACTTCCTTTTAATGTTGGACGATGATGGTGTTGTTGATAAGAATGCGATGATATTGACGACTACAAGAAAAAGAAAAAAAAATTAATGTTATATAATGAAACAGAATGAGATAACTTACCTTACTGTTATCTTTTTCTTCATTATTTATTCCCTAAAATAAAAAGAAAATAATAATAAAAAGGGTACCCCTACACTTCGTCCTCTACTTTTCGTCTTATTACTTTTCGTCCCATACAACTCGTCCCCTTACTATCCGTCCCAATTACATTTCGTTCCAATTACATTTTGTTCCTTTACAATCCGTTTCCTTACAATTTGTCCCAAATAGTGAGTATTCATCTACATTACAACAATATGAAATAAAGTTTATTTAAATTAAATTCAAGTGCTTATTTTCAAGTTCATAGCAATTCGAGTTAAATATTCCTCGATATTGTTACCATCATAAGACAGCGCGATTATTTTCAATCGTGCATCAAGATTTGCATAAATTTTTCTTTTTTTTTTGGTTGTTCACCTGCACGAAGTCGTTCAATATCGATCTCGAATCTAGATTGTTCACGTAATATACATTTTGCAAGGTTAGTTACAGAAGGATGTTTAATTGATACACGATTATTGAATGCATGGTGCTATCCCTCGACAGTATTATTAGATCTTGGCAAGTCTTGTGTAACTCTCTCATAAATGTCTCATAATTGTAAACTAAATTTTGGTTTACCACGTCGGCTACCTAAATTAGCGCTATACACTATTAAATACGTCAAACATATAAGTCTAAAATGTCACAAACCTCTTTCTTTCTTTTGACCAGCCGATACACATTCAAAATAATCAAGTAGAGGATAATCTTCATAATCAAAATCATTCTTGATAGATGAATAAGCTTTAAGAACATCAGTAACAGGTATAAATGCAAGACTCACTAGCTTTTTCACGTTCATTCGAGATTTATCATCATTTGTGTACTTAATCTGTAGACCTAATGATTGTACTTCTCTCCACAAGCGCTGCCCAAAATGAAATAGACAACCTATATTTATTGAAAAATAATTTTTTGTTGAGAAAAAATTCGTATACAAAATAACTTATTTGAATAGCGTCCGAAAATATTGCTTTAGTTGATTTAAGTGTAGCATTTTCAAAATCAACAAGAACAGAATCAGGTTCATAATCATAATGTAATAACAGTGGTTCAAAAAAATTATTATAATCTTTAATATCTTTTCCGATCAATAAGACATACAAGAAGGATGATTTGAAGTGAGTACATTCCATGTACAGTAAATAATTGATAATCATTTTTGGGATATATCTTAAAACAAAAACCAATTTTATCAAAAGAACGCAAGAAAAACGATTACAAACACTAAATGTCCCATCCATGAACCAATGCTTGCATTGATCTAAAACCGACAGATTTTTATTACATGTAAATATAAGCATAGAATCATCTTCATATAACACGAAGTTTTCACTACTATCGGTTTAACGTAATATAAGAGGTAAACAACCATGATGATCAAGTTTCATAGGTGGTCGTTCACGACGAATTATTTGCAACAATGCATCATTTGTAGGTGAACCAGGAGTTGCTGTTAATGGAGTTGTACGTAATACATCAAATAATATCGTACCGGCTCCTTCATCTGATAATGTACCACGAAGTTTAATTTCATTTTTAAGTCGAATGACGTGAAATCGATCTGGATCAGGTACATGCGAATGTTCGTATGGTTCTTTAAGTAATATCTTGATTTGGATATTTGTTTGACAATGACCAAAAAATATAATATCAAATTTAAGACTGAATTTCATGATTTATACTTACTTCTACAATCTCGATTTGCACAACGAAAAATACGTTTTTCTTCTTTTATTCGATGTTGGGTATTAAAAAATCCAGAAAAATAAATCATAGGA